GGGGGGGGGGAGTAAGGGGGATGGGGAGGAGGCAAGAGGGTTAGGGGTAAGTAGTATGAGGTAACCGCTTTCATGGATGATTCTTAATTGTATTGTAACGTAATCGATTGGTTATTTTACTTACGTGGGCATCCCTCTTTGTTTGGTCCAAAGGCTATGCTATTGTCCCAGCAGCAACCAAATGGCGAGTTATAGCATGCTGGTGCTGCTAAAGCCTCTGTACAATGAAAGTAATGTGGATTAGTGGGAAAAGTATTCATACCCAACCTTGCACGGAGGAGAGGTCCCTGGGAACGAGCTTGATTAATACCGTTATCATCAGTATACAGTATTCTACTTCATGCGCAAAGAAAATTTGTCGTGCATGTAGTGGTCATCCGCGATATTACGCGAAAAATTGTACGATTTCTTGCCTCTCGAACTTATGAAGTTGGTCACCAAAACCCAATAAAGCTGTAACCCCCAAAAGGGGTTTATCTACTTATTTTCAAGAAAATGAAGGGCGCAAGCTAAAATGTTTAAAACCTAAACCCTTGCAGCGGTCTTCTCATTAGTAGCAAAGATGGCGTCTATTTCGTAGCCGTAAAACAGCCCCAAGATGCACCGCAACGTCAACTCGACCCAGTTTTTCCTCAACCTCTGAAATCATACTTACTGCACATGCCACAAGTAAGAGGACAAAACTTCTTCATCATGGTTTTCATTGTTTTGCAATAACCTTTGCTTTCCCAATCCTTACAAAGTCCGTATTTCTTCTCGCGCTCGGCGTCTTTACAAACTGAGTAGAAATGCGAATTAAATTAGACAAAGCAAACGAGTTTATGAACAGTTTTTCTGGGGAGGGAGAAAAGAAAATAGATATGGATAGGAGATTCCTTCTTCTGTACCCCTCTCTTCGAGGAAAATAAATCAAGAGTAAGGTAGCAATCACTCGTGCCTTCCACCTTGTGGTCTCTGGTTAGATTACTGGAATTTGCTTCACATGTAGGTTGAGTCTGTTGCGTCTCTCCCTGGAGGTGTTCTCCTATTATCCTCCCTACCTAATAGGTGATTCAATTAGATCTGTGAGTTAACCGTGCCCTGACTTGGAACCAGCCCAGTAGTTGCTTCAAGGTACGTTACTGATAAAATTTGAAGGATTCGAGAGACTTCTCGCAGGCAATCTTTCCTTACCGGGAAAATCTATTGGGTAAAGAGGAAACAAAGGATGGTTTTTCCAGTCTTTCGCTGGATCCATTTGTAAACCTGACGACATCATTGACTGTAAGGTCAATTCCTTTTCTAAAAAATAAAAATAAAAATAAAAAAATAAAAAAATAAAAAAAAAGAAGAAGAAATTCAAGTTGATCTTCTATCAATCTATCATATGACAACTATTTCGAAAAACGTTGTCGGTACAAGATCTCAAATGGGCGATATGAGACTAGAAATAATGTTTGGGATTTTATGTTTTCTAAAAATACAAAAATCACATTTCTAACTCAAAGCCCACCCCCATATTCCAATCTAAAAGGAAACAATACGTTGTTTGGCCCAGTGCGCGTCCACACGGGAATCCGAAAACACTCGTCTTTACTGAGTCTTGGGGGAAGAGTGGGACTGCTCGCAGTCTTCGTGTTACTCGATTTAGATTTCACATTTCACATTTCTAACCGATAGCGCGTTTCTTGAAGTATGTGTATACACAACACATACTTTTGTCCAAATTGGGATCGTAACACAAGTGCGCTAGAAACCCAGAAATTGGTTTCAATCGGTGCAAAACATTTTTTTATTTCGGAAATAAATATCAAATATGAAAGAAGTCACTACTTTCATTAAGAAGAAGTATGAATTCTTCATGAATTTCATGATATTTTTGCGTATAACTTACCGTCAGTCAACGTTTCGCTTGAAGTTAAATGAAAAGCAGCCAAAGCAATAGAAAAAAACAACATTATTCCCTTTGTTCCAGCCATCTTTTCTTGTTGAGATGTCAGTGTCGGCTCAGTAAACTTATTCTTAATTAGCAGCGAAGGAGAAACGTCCGCAAACTTTATAGGAAAAACAGACCGAAAGAATTTCGTTCTGATTGGCTACCAACGGTTCTAACCGCATTCTACTTGGTTGACAAACATGCAAAGCTGCCACATCGTGCGGGGTTTTGGCGGGAATATGGCTTTATTAAGATCAATCTCCTTGAATCAATGCGGTCATTGATTCACATTACAAAACTCGCGAACTTAAACGCCACTTTTTACATTAGCTATCAATTGAAAACCAACTTTAATGATGCTAAATACATTGACTTAATTCACACTTACTAGCAATTGATAACCTGATTTGATAACGGTAAGTTACGAATGGCGGGAAAATGACCTACGACAAATCGGCAAGAAAAAAATTAGCCGCGGTAATTCTAGTCTCATACAAGGAATGACGACACTAATAGCGGCTGTGTAGGAGACTACGGTCCATCTCGTAATGCATTAAGCCACAAGTGGGTGTTTTTGTGCTTTGGGGTGTAAAACAATATTATTGATTTTAAATACGAAATGTAGCTTGAAATTGGTCCTTTTTAAAAACCAAATTCGACAAAAAAAATCCGGATTTTTCTAGCTTATTCAACTAAGCTGTTTCGTGGGATGTTTGATGATAACGATGCTACATTACGATGTTATTTCAAAACAAGAGTATATTTTCATAAACATACTTTGTTATTATTGAAGTGAAGAACACGATACATAGCGCACCTGTTGCAAGACTACCGAACCTTTACGATTACTATATGGCGTTAGGCCATTCCTTAAGTATTACTTCTTTCTTTGGACGGTGGGGATTGGCTTAGACGGAAGACGCAAAAATCCTATAGCATTTTCATAAGCTTTGAAATGTAAAAACGGCGGATAATAAATTGAAAACAAAATAAAATAAAATTAGAGAAAGTTAAACATTAAATTAAAAATATTAGTAAAAAATAAATTTACAAAAAAATAAAGTTGTTTACAAAAAAAAAAAAAAAAGCGTGAGTATTTGTTCACTGACCCTAAAAATAACTTAATCTGTGTCAATTGTAACGTCATATATCGGGCTTTTAATAAAACGCCCCCTACATTATGTGATCCCGAAGCGAGAAAATACTCTAACCACAAGTCTATCGTTGACTTTTTGAGGTTTTATGAAAAATTAGCTGGAAAAAATATCAATTTACTGTACTATCCCAAAGTTATTCAATCTAGAGCAATTTTACAAACTCAGCTTCATCAAATTCTACCGTAATGTAGCAGATTCAGGGGTTTTTGATGATGTGTGTGATAAAAAAAAGTCTTTATGTTTCTTAAGACGAAGATTATTAAGAGTTTTTTAAAACTTTGATGGCAATAATATTGATTCTGATGGTTTGGTGACACGTTAATAACATTTTGTGGTGATTTTAGTGCACAGATTCCCCCATTCTACCATCAAACTCCCTCTCTTTTCTTATTTCCTTTCTTCAATTTTTCCCTTTTGCATTTACTAAATATTTCTTACTTTCTCTCTTTTTTGTGAATGAGGTATATTGTCTTCTCTGGATTTTTTTATGGTTTTACCCTTCACAGCCCCTTTCTTTTTTTTATACAAAAAAGTTCTAAATTTAACTGAATGATATTCAATTTATCTTCTCTATCCTATTTACATACTTTAATCAAGTTTTGTAAATTATTTCACTCAACCACTTATGATGTCATTTGGTCAAACATATTCATCCCCATCTGCCTTCAAGGAAGTCTTTTAAACACCCACAGTGCACAAGATGGCAGTTATTAAAACTAATTGAATTAAAGTAATTATCAAATTACTTCAAATTGATATATCCAAAATAACAGCCTTAACATCTGTTATTAATGGTTAAATATATCTTGATTACAAAATAGATGAAATCAAAGGCACAATTTGATTGGTTGACTAGAGGAAGTATGACGCACATTACCACTGACTGGACTAAATTTAATGGCTATGAAGATGATGAATCAGGACAAAATATAAAGTGTGTGCACTAGTGTGTATTGCGGTAGACAAAAACTAACTTTGACTGGGGTAAAAATAATGGCTGTGAAATGTTGAGGCAAGATGACCGACCACATCAGACTAATCGATATCTGACCAGTTAATGTGACATGCCAAGAGGACTGCTTTCCATTTGATCAAAGTGATCACTTTAAGACTTGTTTCAGTGATCACAGTGATCGCAGAGATCCTAGCAATCATAATGCTTCCATACAATCACTGCGATCAAGCTGCAATTCGTGAAATCCCACAAACATTAACACGAAAATGGACATACTTTGATCTTATTTCTTGTAATTAAAGGTTTAAAAGAATGACTTYTGAAAGAAATGAGGAATTTCTTACTCTTATTGGCCTGTTATTACCAAAAAACATGCAGAACACGTACAAATTCCAATTGCCAATCACTGCAATTCTCAGAGAATGGTTTCCATTTGAATACTGAAATCTCGGCGATTGCAAACTCCACAATTGCATATGCCATAATTGCGATTGCAACAATAATTTATTGCCATTGCCACAATTGCTGTGATCACCAGCAATTGCTGAAGATGTGTTTTAAAATGAAACACATGAATCTCTAAACATGTTTTAGGGCAATTGCAACAATCTGAAGAGTTTGGCCAGGCAAGTGCCAATTTTGATCAGACCATAGTTCTTAACCATGGAAAAACTATGGCCAGACACTGTCTGTAACTGTTAACCAGGGCTATATTATTTATCTGACTAACACATATGAGTTAGTAATCAAACACAGATCTGTCAGCCCAGAGCCTGTCAAGCTGTGATCCTCGAACAGTGGCATCCATTTGTTCCCTTTGATTCCCAAGATAGAAAAAGTTCTATCTCACCAATTGCCACAATCACTGTGATTCCCAGTGAAAACTGAACATGTGCTTCCAAATGATTCAGTGATCGCTAAAATGCATTTTTAGGCAATTACAGCAATCAAATTGAAAGCAAGCTTAAGATGGGTTGAGCTTGAAGCACTGAAGATGCTACTGGTTGTTTGCACAAGACACCAAGCCAACCAACAAATAACAGCTCCACATGATTGGATTTTTTATTCCAGTCAAGGACAAAATTTATCCATGTATATCTTTTAATCAATAAAAGATTTACACTAAAAATTTTTTTATTACATTCAACGTAGACAAAACTCAAGCTTTTTTTCTCTCAAAAAAACTGAGTATTTCAAAATTGTCAGTGTTCATATTAAGAAGGTTATATCCCTGCTGAGTACCAATGACTTTAAAAGTTTTTATCTCAGCTGATACATTAAAAGATGAATAATTCTGCCAATCAGCACAAAATTGCACAGCAATTCAAATTCCTTTGGATCAAATAGATTACCGTAATACCAAACAGCTTATTATTTCCCTGCCTGTTGTTGTCCTTGTAGTTGACTCATAAGTTTTTCATCCTGCATCGACAAAGCTGTCAATTTTTTTCCTATCCTGTCATGAATCTCCAAGTACTTGGCCACACATCTATCCAAGCACACAGACTCTCCCTTGGTCAGGTCACCCTCCTTGTACTTTGCAGATATGCATTTCTTGTGACAAGCACTTGTGAGACTAAAAACAGATAACAAAATAATAATTAATTTGTGGTGGAAATTATTGGTCTCGTAGCAGAACCTGGAAAACATTTATTCAAGTCAAAGGATGGCATGGCTCAAAGAGGGTCCTGAAGGGGAGGTCCTAATCCCATTTCCCAGCCCCCATTTTGACCAAATCCCATAGTCCCAGCCTATGTTTTGCTGGAATCTCAATCTCAATCTTGTTCCTACTTTTTGATTTTTTTGTTTGTTTGTGAATCCCATTCCCAGTGCATAAAATCCCATTTTACCAGCCTAAGAAAGGCAAATACCAGCTCCCATCTTTATACCCCTTCAGACCCTCCTTAAAGATTTCGTGTAAGAGAGTACATGTACATCTCACATCTTGAATCACCATATCAGCATACATGTATGACTCATTTTTGAACACGGAGCTAAGGTCTAGTCAGGTCAGAAAGAAAACGTTGCACTTACAAAAAAGAGAGTGCAAAAGATAAGTTTGATAATGAAAAGTTTTTCAAATGTCATATGATTCCCTCTCTGCACCAACCAACTTCAATCCTCAACGACTGAGTTTACGTACCGATTATACAAATCTGTCATCATCTCTATTTCCAGGTCTTGCACCATATCTACTTTTGGTTGATCCATAGCCATTTTGATTTGTGTTCTGGACCAATAACAAGTAGAATTCTAACTCTAAGAGTGACTTTAACTGTTATAACTATCTACACGTGTTTACTAGACATCCGCCATCTTGGATTCTAGGAAGAAACTGCTAGTCAAAATGTTCGTGGGCGCATACACAGGAAGCCCAAACTGACTACCTAATCCTCACATTTCACACCAAAAATACTGATCCTCTTTCGTCATTCTTTGCCGCGAGGTAGAATTCCGGAAAACAAGGGGGAAAATAACTTGAATGGATTCTGGTTGTTTTGCGCAAACCTTACAAATGGACAACAAGCATCCTCCTAGTTTTATGTTGCGTCAAAAAGTTAAGTAAACATGTTAGTGAAGTTAATCCCAACTATACGTACGTGAAGACCTGCAATGACGCACAACGCACACCTCAATTTTTAAATAAAAGGAAAATAAATATAATTTGAAGATAATCCAGCTTTTTAAAGCGAGGCAATTAGCGCATTGTTGCTTAAGCTTCTTTGATTTTGTAATGTCTGTAGTCTTTGTGTAATGCTCACTAATTGATGCAATTGTAGGTATTACTAATTGACATTCATATAACATTCTAAAGCTTTGAGAAACGTGTTTACAAGTCGTGTTCTGTGTATCAAGCGAGTCGTTTATTTGATTACTGGGCAACATTATTTGGTCAATAATGTGACGGTCATGGTACTTGGAAAGAAACATGGACAGTCATAAGTCAGATCAGGGCTTCAGAGAGTCGAAGGAAATTAGAAAGCTTTTAAAACTAAAGGACAGTAAAGTTGGAAACGTCATTCTAAAGTCAAATGTCTTTGAACAAGCTAAACTCGGTAACAAGCTTGACAAAATTTCACATCATCAAAGGAGTCAAGAAGTGAATTTGTCGTGGAAGAAACACCTTCTTTTAAGGAAGCAAAGGAGTACTCTTTTGAAAAGTAAGTCGACGTCCTCCATCATGATTCCTCCCTCGCAATTACCGCGTCTGCTTCCACCAATTAAAATGAAACCAAATACGTTTTCTCACCAACAAATTGGTACTGGGTTGACGGGGCACACTGAAGAGGATAGATTTCATTCTAAAAGGCACGGAATACCTATGGATACTTCGGGCACGGAGGCGAGTGGGGAACTGCGAGAAAAAAACTTATGTCCTAAAACAAAGTCTAGCGAAAAAGCCTTGCTTCAATGGAAAAGAGCCATTAAAAAAACTCGCGAACGAATCCAAAAWTCAAAGAGGAAATTACCGCCTTTAGTGCTGCAAAAATCACAACTCGATTACGAAAAAGATCCTCGGTTTGCTAGACTGATTGAACAGCTTGTTCCGAACATGAGCCGAAGAATTTCGGATGGCGATATTAGACATAAAAATGAAGACGTGGACGACGATGAAGAAGACACGGACATTTCGCATGAGAATGGAGATCACGAAGACGAACAATACTTTACAATGTAAAACGATACTTGAAAATTTAACAAGTTGAGATAGCCATTAAACAGCATTTACGATTTCTGGACGGGGCCTTTAATACTGACCATCGCATTACAAATGCCATCAGAAATTTAACTGACAATTCATGCACTTGTAAAACGCCTGAATTTTAACTGAAAAAAAGTCCTCAGTTAAATTTAACTAAAAGCTGACTAATAAGCAAGTTTTTAACTGACGACGCTGACATGTGGACCCCGATCAGACCCTATTACAAGTCTCATTTACATGACATAATATAAGCTATGAATTAAGTTTATACTTAGTTCCCCAACTAATGACCGAGGATTCATTTAGTACTCCCGATAAGTTGTTTTAACGTTCACGATTACGCGCATATACTAACATATGAAAAATTGCATAATTTATTTAATTTGTCAATTTTCAGTTATTTTTGTTTTGTTTATTGTATTAATAGCTTTTTTCATGTATTTTTTTAGAAGGCCATTACTTAGATAAACTAGAAATAAAAAGTTTTTCTACTGTCAGAATTAAGTGATTTTTCAACAACGAATAAATACTGGAAAATATTGAATAATAATATTTTGCATTCTATTAAACTCGTCTCGCTTCGAAGCTATAGTTGCCATAGAAACCGTGGTCACTCAGCCTCCTTAAAAATCTGGATTATATAACGTAGGCAAGTTGTCACGTGAGTTAGTGTGTCGTCCAAGATGGCGGCTGTGGCCGTGGCAGCTGCTGCAGGACAAACTTCAAGACGAAAATCTCGCCGTGCTTTGGCACAATCCTTCCTTTCTCGAATATCACTTGATGGAAACATTGTACAAGAAAGAAATGAGCCCACTTCAGGCCCGGGGACTCCTTTGATGGAGAGAGAGTTGCCGAAAAATGTCGCAGAACAGAAGACACTTGTTACTGCGGTGCAGTCTGTTGCTAAAACAATCCCAAATACTAAAGCTATCCCCCATACTAAACCTAAGTACATGCACTCATTCTCCGAGAATGCTGCTAGTTTCGAGAGAGACAAACCAAGAATAACGCGTAGTAAAGACAGTGAATCTATGATTTGTAATAAGACACTGACTCCAGAGACCGTCGGCTTTCGAAGAAGTTGTTCTGCGACAGAATCTCTGATGACAGAGAGCAGTTCAAGTTTTTCTGGAAGTGTTCACTTTAATAGAGGAACGATAAGACACAAAATCACTTGTATGTCTGGTTCTTCGTTTAAACTTAGAAGGAAGCTTCATGATAAAAGGTAAACAAAAATTCAAGACCATACATTGTATCTCAGGCTACGTACTCCCGGGCGTCATTCATAGCGACGACAAAAAAATGTAGATTTTACAGAGTATCAAATATCCCCAATTAAATAGCTTATTATAATTTGACTTCTCTAGAAATATTCCTACTTTTTCTTCCTTTAASGTAAGTTTTTAAAGTTGCGAAAAATGGTTACAGTGTAATGACGTATTTCTATCAAACTTCCATTTAAATATTGATGAAGTTCTATAGATGTATATAAAGGTCTTGCAAAGTTTTTTTTTAGAATTTTATGGTAGGATTCTAGAACATTTGAAAATTTTAATATTTGATTTTCAAGTTTTTTTACATTAAAAAATCAGTTTTCTCTGTGACAAGATGAGTTATAGAGAGTGAAATCCCTTTTTAAAAAAGGTTTTCTTGAAATTTCAGTTCTATTTGTCTAAATAGACGCTTTTATTCATTTCAGAATTGTCTTATGTTCACCTCGTAAAGTACCCTTCCTTACCTATTCTGTGTTAAAATACCATCACGAAAATAAAGAAGTTGGTGTCGAAGGAACAGGGTAAGATACATTTTTTGAATATTACAATTTTGACTTTTGTTGCTAAGGCTATCAAGCTTCATTAGAGGCTTTGCACCATCATGTGCCTGTGCCATAATACAGCTTGGACTGCCTGTGGTTAGATGGCAGAACAATGAAATCCCTTTGCTTTTGAGAATTGAATAATTGAATTGTTCCTGCCATCTAACAAGGTTGCCGTCACATAATAGTGCAAAACCTCTATTAAAAACTTATTGAAATTTGATATTTGATATCATTTTCCAGTACTCATGTCTTGCTTTTTTGACAAGCTTGATAAGTAAAGGGGGTAACCTAACCACAACTACCCCACTAATTATGTTTTAAATAGAATAAGGTATGCCAGTAGAGACCACTAGCAACCACACCTGTCAACTATATTCTATGAATAAAGTTGCTTTCAAGTTGTTTTTATGTTGCGAACACTTTTGAATAGTATCAATGTTTTAAGGCCTCATGTTTATCACTGAGAATCCGTATTAAAAATATTTTTCTTTTTAGTTTAATTATTTTCATGGTTGATTACATGTTTTTGGCATGCAGTGCGTTGTGGTTCACTAGAATATTTACCACTATTATACCCCCCCAATGATCAACTTCATTACCACCATTAGTGTCATCCTCATCTATATTGCTATTTAATTTTTGTTTTAAAGGAGAAAGAGAGCATCAGCGCCCAATAACCAGTATCTTGGTATTGAGGGTGTAGAAGTTGGAACAGGAGATAAGGTAGGATTCAGTATATTATCAAGAATTTTTGGTTACTAACAATAATTATTGCATATTTAGTAGTCATGTTAGTAGCAAGTGCATCATTGTATTAGCATAAAGGATAAAGTTAGCCTTCATGATTTCATGCATGTTGTTATATGTAGATGAACAGGGAGCTTTAGGCTTCATGTCTATTGCCAAGATAGCAAATACAGTCCTGACATTTTCCAGAGATAAATCCTAGCAAACCATATACTTTACTAAAAATCAATGAATACTAGATAAAGTTTGAGTTTCTTCCAGTTTGGTTAACTGACTAAATGACTGACCAGTAGACAGACAGACACTGACTGATTTATTGATTGTCATTTACTATCCTAATTCAAAATATGTTTGTCTTTCTTTCCAGACTGTTTCCTATAGTTCTCTGCTTGTGCCTTCATTTACCAATGTAAAATATGTGGTAGGAGATGCTAAAGATGGGATCCCGTTGCTGATGCCACCTATTGATAGTCCAATTGGTAAAGACGGCAATATTATGCATCATTCTCTACTTGACATTCTACTTATTTATCCATTTTCCCATTCATTCGGTTGTTTTTTCCCCATTGTTTTCATTTATTTGTTTGTTCATTCACACCAAATGCGAAAAAAATGTATTTGGGGAGGCTCCGGCTTCAGAGGGGAGGGTCATCAGTAGATATTTGAACTTTTGTCGAGAGTCAATCAATTTTGCTTTATCCTTGTTGATTTAATATAAGGGTCATGAATGCCTTACTAAGAGAAGGGTGATGTAACAATCATTTTTATGAAGTTTACTGTGAATCCCACACCTCCCCCCCTCCATAATAAGATACATACCAGCTCTTGTCTTAGTTTTCAAAGGAGATCTACCTTAAAGTGATAAATGTTTTATTCTGATTTAAACCAGAAAGTTGTTTTGATGAGTTGGAATACCCTGGATCTATGGTAGTAGACAGATATGAGCCATACAAACTAGATGATCCTGAATTAACATCTGGAAAACACAGAACAGTTCTGAAGCTTAGTTCATACATGGTAAGCAAAGGTTGAGGTAACTTATCCAGAAAGAACGACTCAGATCATCAATTTCGATACTATGCACCTGTCTCRCATTTTGTACTTTGCACTTGGGTTTCAGATATCAAAACTGAAGCACATTCTCTATGCTTGATATTTCTGACTATACATGAAATTGTTGGGAAGAATGAATTGATTATGAGCATTTTAGATATTTTTTATCTAAAATCATTATGGTATTTTGACCAAAAAGATCATGCCTTTTTTCTTAGTTATTTTATAAACAACGCTCTTCACAGTCATAAGATAAATCCTCCCTCCCTTATTTAATACAAAAAAATCTTTCATTACTAAATTGTTTCCTTCCCAAAAGCATCTTACCAGCCCCCTTGACACCATTATGTTTTCTTAATCTTAGTCTCTTTTTGCCTCTAGGTATCTGTAACTGCTTATGCTAAGCCATCAGAACTTAAGAAAGATCTTAATGAAAGGTTCAGAGAAAAGTTTCCATACATTGATATCACGCTAACAAAACTCAGAAGGTAAGTAGTTATATACCCTAAGTTAATACTGGATTATAGCGCTATTATAATCACGGTTTGAGTGTCCTGACTGTAGTTTACCTTGTAATCAATTGATTACCAAATTACTTGTTGCGAGTTACACTGATATAATAAAAAATTAAATTTATATAAATGATATAATAACTCCCTAATTTCTATTTTATTATATTTTAGTCTCAAAAAGGATTTATTAAAAATTGCATTGTCACTGGTAGGTAAAACTTTTGGAAGATAATTTTTGATTTTATTTTCCCTATCTCTATAGCTAACACATGTATAAATGTTTTGTTTATTCTCAGGACTGTCAACTGGACCTTACGACAGTTGCTTACGCTTATGTTTACTTTGAAAAACTTATATTGAAGGTAAATAATCTACTGAAATTATTCCTCTCAAAATACTAGTACTTCCCCTTGATACTCCCTTGCCTCTAACAGTTGAGCTCTGCATCATTATTCTTTTATTAAATGTCCTTGTTTTATTCCAGGGCAAGATCAATAAGCCGAACAGAAAACTTATTGCAGGTAATGATAATAATGATAATGCTCATAGTTTAATTGTGGACATTTTAGTTGTGGGCTAAACATTATAGGAGTACAATTAAATCCCAAATTGTACTCTGTAGAGTCCAAATTAAGTTGCCAAATTTTGTTGAGCGTATTATAATTAATGAAAAATCACACAATCTTCTCGTACAATTTGGAATTTACAGGTACTGATGATGATGTTTTGAAAGTTCACAAATTGAACTTTCCTAAAGGCTCTTCCAATTTTATAAAAATTTTCAAAACATCACTCATACAGATGTACCTATAAATTGCAAATTGGACTCGAGATCGTGCGATTTAATATACAAATCATACCATGGTTTTATTTCTTTTATTCATCTTTTTCATTGCTTCATGTTGATCAATAAGACAAATTAGATTAGTTGTGAATATTAAAAGAAGATCATGGTAGTTAAAGCCGGAGAATATTGCCCAGTTATTACCCTGCGAGCAGAGTCTCCTTTTAACTCCTCTACGGGCGAGAGGAGTTAAAAGGAGACTCTGCTTGCAGGGTACCCAGTTATTGGAGCCTTCTCTGATCTCCAACCCTTACTGAATTAGTATTGATTTCTTTTGATTTAATCAGGTTCTTGTTTGCTACTTGCTGCTAAATTCAATGATGACAAGAGAGTGAGAATCAAAGATCTTATAGATGTAAGTTGAAAATTGCCCACTCAAAATTATCTTGGATTATTATCTTGGATGCGAGACTAGAATAAAACTATGAAAGAAATCTCATTTTCTCAATGGACTTTGTGGCGTTTCTTTTCTTTTTTCTTTTTATCTTAGCTTGCACTTGTGGAACATGCTTCTATAGGCACATTAATCATCAATTGCCTAATATTTTTGTCAACTATTTCAGAGATATAAATTTAATTCATGATTACAACACGCGCTCTAAAACGAAAAGGAATTTATATTTGCCTCACCAAAACTTAAATTATGGCCAGTTTGGTGTAAAATACGCAGCYGTTGCAAACTGGAAYGAWGTTCCTCTTGAAATCAAAAATAGTTTATCGCTTAAAAGTTTCCGTACAAATTTCAAAAAATACCTCATATCTCAGTAAACTACAAGTTCTTATATTTAACTCATAAATGTAAATCTTTACCGTAACTGTTTTCACCTTAAAAATGCTTGATTTCTATTTTACTATTTTATTGTAAGTATGATATTCCGCCATTCACTATTTCTTTAAAATTGTTTACATTGGTGCAGGATCTTAGTTAACCCCTTTTGGGTGCAGGATCTTAGTTAACCCCTTTTAGGTTGTTCCTCCTGCACCTTTCCACTTCTTTCTTAAGTTCTATTTGTAATTCTTTGCTTTTTCGTGTGTGGAAAAATAAAAACCTTTGAACCTTTGAACCTTCTTGCATGTACCATCTTGCTAATTTATACAGTCCCTGTAACAGCTGCCATTAGAAACGTCAAAATTTTACCATGGAAATGTGTTGTTCAGACGTTAGAAACCCACTGTTGTCATGCCAATAACAAAGATAGAAATGTGCATGGCGCACACTAATTCAAATAGCAGTATGAAGAAAAATAGAGTTTAGGCCTCTCTCATGTTATAAAGTGTTCCACTGCCCCTGTATGACTATTGCTGTCAATTTCACACTAATATTTTCTTTCTTTCATAGAAAATTGAAGATAAGCTTAAAATTCAAGTCAAAGAACTCCTTTTGTTAGAGTTCCAAGCACTGGTTGGTCTAGAATTCAATCTACATGTGCCAACTTGGGAGGTTATTCCACATTTGAGGCGCCTGGAAACAGAAATGCAATAAATAATTGTCTTAGATGATGTCTGGATTCTCAAGGACTTGATATTAAAGTACATAGTACTACTGACAATGTCATGGAAATGCTTTAATTGACGACCACTAAAATTATATTTTGTTGCAATGACTAATCATGCAATTCTGTGCATGTTATTGAAAATGACTTTAAAAGTTCATTATGTAGATTGAAATTCATTATTGAGGGATTTCCAAAATTTGTCTTATGGCACAAGAACTGCTTGATGCAGTTCTCACTTGAGTCAGGTGTGCCAATAATTTTGTCCTTTTCTAGGCTTCGTAACTGTTACATATTTGATCATAATAGATTACCTAATTTAAAAAATAGATTATAGATTATAGTTAAGTTATGCAAACTTAGAGTTGTGCATGTGAACCAGTGCAATTAGTCTTAATTAAAGGTTGGTCAATCTTTGGCATAATTGTTAATGAATATATTAGCATGTATTACCAGACTATGTTATATGTTGGAATTTTGTGCATAGCATTTTTATAAAAAGAAGATTTTGATGCCAAAACATTGTAAGATAGCTTTTGATCTTTCCTACAGATTCACATACAATGCATGGCTGCAAGGAAAGCTTAATACTAAGAAGATTTTAGTGACTTCTATATATGATATGATAGAGTGCATGCACTAAAACCGTGAACATTAAATAGTACTAATTAGTACTATTTCATACAGAATCCTTTGTTTTCTATTGTTTAATTATCACTATTCAGTGCTAAAAATTAGTATTTGTTTCACGGATTTAGTGTGACCCCTCTATCATAATATGGTAATGTTCGATAAAAAATATTTGCAAAACATCTGAATCAAGATATATTAATAAATCTTAATTGAGGAATGCAAAGTGTGTATTTGAATTTTACTTCTTTTTTTGCCCGCAAAATCGAGAAATTGGGTCAAAATGAAAATGTGTAGGGAGGAGTGGGAGGGGGGAACGACTATGAATGGTGCATTATGGGTAAAATGGTGTGACTCCGTGGGGACTCAATCGTTTTTTTAATTAACGATAACCCAGGTCACGATAACCGGTATAGAGTTTCTCTCTATAAAAAAAACAACAATGTGAATCCCATCCTAAGAATCTCATCCATTACTTTCATTCAATCATCCAATTTTACTTTTCTGTAAGATCAAGATATCAGTTCATTTGAGCATAGTATAATAGATTTTTTATAGTTTATCTGCATCAAAACTTTAGGTTACTTGTGTTGAGACACGACTTCATAAAAGCCAATGTTGTTTATCGACATTGGACTTAATTTGGAAAGATTCAAATTCTACTAGATTCATTCCCAGAGTGGCATGAATGGAATAGCATCCTACGAGTCGTCAGAAGAGGACTGCGAAACAGAAGTAATGTTGTACGATCGCACCAAAACAAGAAGGATCCGACATCATCTAAGTCAAGTGGAACCGAATTATGAAGATGAAGACAAGACATCTATACGACCTTTAATGCAGGAAGATGATTACTTCGATAAAGAAGGTACACAATTCTATGTATTTTTGATTAATTATGTATGTTTAGGGTTATTAAACATGAGTAAAGCAAGTGTCGCTGCCGAAATGCGTCGTGTCAACGCGTAAACAAATGCTTATCAGTGAGGGAGGCCTAGGGGAGGCGAGGGGTGAAGGCGACACGTTAGATGCTATTTCCCAGCCACATTCCTTCAAATACTTTGCTGTATTCTACGAAAATAAACAAAAAGTCGTGTAAGCTTACATCAATTAAGAAAGCGAGCAAGAAGAGAATTTCTTGGATTTTGAAAAAGGGGYATAATTGATCTCTAAGGATGAAAGATAGACGTAGCTATAAGCTTTTCTGATTGAGCATAAGATTTTCCCATTTCAAAACAAGTGTCATTCCCTTGTGAATAAGATTTTTGGTTTGAGTTGTATCCATATGCATGGGTCTTCTCATGTGCAACAGTGAAACAAAGAAATGGGGAATGACACATTACAACAAGACACCCATGCATGTTGGATAGATTTATTCTAACCTTCTCGGCCACAACTGAATTTTTTTTAATCAGATACAGATGAGGAAATCACTTATTCTGTTGGCGAGGCTGTTGATATGATTGGATTTGGCTGGTTTCAGATCCGTTTGATGATGATTATAGGTTTTTTCCAGGTTTGTGTATTAATATTTATTACTATGCTATATTAGTGTCTGTCTGTCTTTCTCGGTTCATATGTCTTTTTGTCTGTCTGTACATATAAAAGTCTGTTTGTCTACCTTTACTTGTTTTCTATAACTTCATTTCTGTCTGTCTGTCTACAGTAAGTCCCTTCGATATGTCTGTCTGTCTGTCTGTCTGGGTCTATTTACTTGTCTGCCATCTCTGTTTCAGTTTTCCTGTTTCTCTCTTTTTTATTTGTGCATATGTCCGTCTGTTCATCTTTCTGTCTGTCTTGATAAAACATTTTATCATATGACCCGTACAGCCCTGCTCGCACGCTCTAAGAAAACCATTGGAAAAAGTCATGTGATGGGGGCCGGAGGGCTTTGAGCGAGCAGGGCCGTATGCATCCCTGCTCGAATCCGCACGCTTTCTCTTTTTTAGCTTTTATTTACTATTTCTTTCTTTCTTTTATTTTTTTATTGATTTTTTCATGAGGGTCATATGATAAAATGCTTATTGACTGAGTTAGGTCGGGCTGTACAGGAAAATATTGGCTCTCAGTCATTTGTACAGAGCTCCCTGCACTCGGTCTGTACAGCATCACCTCGAGCCAAATATTTTCCCGTACGGCCCTCCCACTCAGTCAATAAGTACATATTAGATGACTAGAATATGATAGAGTGAAGTCATAAAACTTGTGAAATAGATATTAGACTTATACACTTTAGTAGATCCTAATAGGACGTTTGCATGATGGCGTCATTGACCTCTACTACCAGACTCCCTTGCACACTTTCTTTTGTTCAGTTAATCAGTACCAATTGTCTTACTATTCTCATGAGGGAATAAAAATTTAAAAAAGAAGGAAAATTTGCCGGACATTAGCGTCATTGGAGTCAAATGACACCATTATGCAAACATGCTATTCCTTTGTTTTCTTTTGTGTCTTATTTGACTATTACTCATGACTAACATTTTTTATTTCACAGGTTACTCACCTTCACTATTGTCACATATTTATTACCCACAAATTTACTACTAACTATTATTATTCTTGCATATGTCTTGTGTATTTTACAGTACTGACATCAACTCCTGTATGATTTTTAGGCTGCAGAATCTCTAGAGATGATGTTGTTATCCATACTTGCACCAACCATACGCTGTCTCTTTCATATCAGTGCCTGGAAGGAAGCATTCATTACAACTGTAATTATTCCATATTCCAATAAAAATTTTGATATCTGCTATTTATGTAATCATAAACTGGAAAGTAATCATTGAAATGGAAACGAATTTCTCAGGTTGTGTTTATAGGAATGATGTTTGGCTCTGCAGTTTGGGGCTGGGTAGCTGACAAGTATGGGCGAAAATTAGTAAGTTAACATTTAAAAAATGTTTTACAAGCATCACTCCCTGTATGCGGCTCTTCCACGAGGTTCGCACACCACCTAGCTCCCCATGATATATCAGCCAATCAGATTCTAAGATCTGCATGTGCATAACAAAAGCATTTTCTTATCAAGGTAATTGTCGCATCAGCTGTCTGGATTTCATATTTTGGATTTCTCAGTGCCTTTTCACCTCATTATTACTGGATTATTGCACTCAGAATGTTAGTAGGATTTGGAATTGGTGGAGGTCCACAATCGTAAGTATATGCACCAGTAAATTAACTTGCTCCTAAAACTCCTAGAATTTTGAAATTTCTTCCTTTAAAGTTCTTTAATTTTTTTTTTTTTTGAGCTTGTAACACCTCAAAAATTCCCAGAGAAAGGGGAGATTTTATGACATTGCACAGAAGTGACTTTAAAATGTGGGTCTTTGAAAAAAAGGTTTTTAGACTATTAACTGGGATTGAAATAATGTGCAATTAAAAATTCATAATTATGTCATAATATTTTTTCCCCCACAACTGTAATGCTAATTATAGCTAATGCATGAAAAATTTAAAAAATGAATATAAAAATTGTACTTTGCCTGTGAAACAAAGTTGTATAATTATTAGTGATTATTATTAGTGTTATTAGTGACTAACAGTCAAAAGAAAACAATGGAATTTGTGTTTACCACTATTCATTAAGATGACTATTATTTAACAGGTAAAGGAAAATCACCCTGTTTTATTTTATCCAATGTATTTTTTCCTTCTTTAGATCGACTCTTATTTCTGAATTCATGCCTAGTAAATACAGAGCAATGTGTATGTGTGTTCAATCGGTAAGTGATTTATTCTATCAATAGAAATGATTTCATGTGACTATCAATATTAGAAATTACATTTTCTACTGTTACTTAAAATGGAAATTGCAAAACCTTGTGGGATTGATTTGCAGACAAACTTTGAAAACAAAGGCTTTGGTTACAAGAAAAAGAATATTAATATCAGTCTTAAAAATATAATTTTTCAATAAATTGAAAACAAGACAACAAGACATTGTTCCAACATATTAGCATGTGTGCTTGGCTTGGCTTGTCCACATTTCAAATTTTCAATCCCATGATGCACAATTGTGACGTCATCCATGGAAATTGCTGTTTTTGCTATGAACATGCATTGTGATGGCTGTGACGGTAACCTTTTGTTTTCCCTTTCATTCTAAAGCCATGGTGGACCGTTGGCTCAATATTTACTATATTAATAGCTATGGTAGTGATGCCAACTTTTGGATGGAGATATCTTCTTGCCATTCTTTCATTCCCATTAATAATTTTTGTTTTTATCTCTAAGGTAAGCTTTTCCAATTTTCATGTTCTTAAATATAACAATTAACTTATTGACCGAAAAAATTGAAAATTATAGTCACTCCCAGAGTCTCATTTTTTTTGGCACAGACTATTTAATATTAATATTTGTAATATATACAATGGATTCATTGTCATACTGTATGAAAATGAACTTAATTAAACTTAATGAAAAGTGCCCTGATATTTCTTCGCAAAACGGGGGGCATATTGTCGTGGTCRTTGCGTTAAGTGCTATATAAATTGCGCATAGATTTTATAAATTATTTACTATATTTTTTCAAATTTTATTTTTTCAGTGGCTTCCAGAATCATGTCGTTACTATCTCACCGTTGGACTTCGAGATAAGTCTTTGTCATTACTCTATAAAATTGCAAGAATGAATAAAGCTGCTGTTCCACGAGGCTACCTTAAAGATACCATACAGGTAGTTTGCCATGTCGAATCACTCATTTCTGATTTAAGATTTGTTTAGGACCATTTACGAGTCAATATTATATTGTCAAACTTAATCACCAACAATGTATTAGATGTCAGCTCATATAGGGAGGAAGGGAGGGGTGCAAACCTCAGCATCCTCCTCTAGATCCACCCAATGCTGTCAATATCATGACAGAATATGTTATTGTTATTTATAGACAGCAAAAAGAGGAAGAGTTAGAGATCTGCTCAACAAGGAATTTTTTGGATCTACTTTGAAATTATGGTTCTTGTGGTGAGCTTCCCATTTTTGTTTTTTGTTTACAGCATTACTACTGTTTTCATTGCTACACACTGACCTAGACAACAGTAGTGACAGGCAGATAGGGTAATACACTATAACCGTCAAACAAATGTATTGTTCAGTACCTTACATACATCACTCTGATTGATATTGGCGGGTAGTCTATTGCCYGATTTCTCTGTTGTGACTGTTGTCTTGATCAGCACTTAGCAATAAAAACAATGGACAGAAAGAGATTCCGGTTTTTCATTCTTGCAAATGACAGACATGGCAACGCATGCTGCGCTGTTTTTTGCCATACATGTTACTTAATGATGTACTGCATCATATTCATACCATACTACATGAACATGTTCTCTGTGACATATGAAACACTATTTTATATGCTGTGCTGTGCCTTCCTATATTGTACTGTCCTGTAGTATGCCGTCTTGTGCTGTGCTTTGCTTTTCCATGCAAAATTATGCTATTGCCATGTTGTACTCTTCATTGTACCTTGTACAGTGCTATGCTATGTTATTCAACCAGTGCATGCACATACTTACACCAGCTAGCCAAGTCTTTTTTCTCCACTACTTTAGGTTCAATGCTGCATTTACATATTATGGAATTGTCCTTATGACAGCTGAACTTTTCCAGAGTGAAAGTGAAAATGGTGGAAAATGTGAAGGTAAAGCATGTGAAAAGATGGAGAGGGTGTTGAGGAGGGGCACACTGTTTATGGTGTTTGTCGTTCACCACTAATGTCTGTTAGGTTTGAGGATGCAAGAAGAGTTGCTTTCATCATCTTTATAGATCTTCAGTTGTCATCATCATTATCATCATCATCAGCAGCAGCAGCATCATTAAGGATCATCCTCATCACCACCACCACCATCATTGCAATCAACAACATCAATTTCATCATCATTGTCATCATTATCATCACCATCATCACCACCAACATCAACAAGATAATAACACCATCATTAAACCCCAAAATTGCTCAAAAGAGAAATAGCATTAATCGTTATCTTTTTGCTGCCAGCTGCCAAAGGAACAGTAAAAAATCCTCATTGTGGCTGTAAACTGCTGACTACTACAGACTACATTGATATGATGAAGACTACTGTTGCTGAAGTACCAAGTAAGATACACTATAAATATCATTCAATGATAAACCTGATTGTTAGTATTTCTAGTGTCTCTAGTATTTATGTAGACTGCCTGACTGCCTGACTGCCTGATTGCCTGACTGCCTGACTGACTGATGTAAATTTCCCCTTTTTTTTCAGCTGTGATTTTTAATGTGATACTGCTTGAAAAGCTGGGAAGAAAGAAGACCTTAGCTTTGTTGTACAGCCTGACGGCAATCTTTTATATGTTATTGTTTTTTTGTACTCAAAGGTAACTAATAATAATTTATTGTTCTAATCAAGGTATATCTGTACCAGTAAAATGATGCATTTATTGTTCAGCTAATTGACCATTTCTTTAGTAGTTCTTATTTCATTTGTTCTTTCATTCACTCTAATATTTTTCAATTACGTCATTGGTTTCTTCATTCATTCATTGTTCATTTATTCTGAGGTTCCCATTCTTTTAGTCCTTATATACTCCTTAATTCATCCATCCATTTATTTATCCACCCATCCACCCACCCATTCATTTGTTCATTTATGCATTCATATTTTTCAGAGCCCTAATGGTGGTGTTTATATTCGGTGTAAGGGGCTGTATATCAGGAGTATTCACAGCAACATACATTTACACAGCCGAGGTAGGGAAGTCAGTAGCGACTTCAAGATTTGCAAAATCTACGACGTGGACGTCAACCGAAAGTGTAAATAACTTCACTTTATGGTTTCGCGCCTTCAAAGTCCGTCTTCCCTGTGGATGAGATGACTTGAACGGAATCTCTAATGAACAGAACCGTAAAAAGAAATTATATACCCTTCCGGTGGACGTCGGTGTCGTAGTCAAAAACCTTTCATCAATTTTAAGCGCTTTTCTATTTCTGGGTGCAAAGCAAGTCCAGACATAGCACATTACGTCATACACTTAAAAACTTGTGTCTGAGTATTTTAAGTGACGAAAGCCAAAAACTTGGTGTAGAGTTGTCTAGATGGTAAAGCATTATAGCTTTAATTATAAGACGAATTCGAGTCAACTCACTATGGATTAGGAGTTTTTAGAATGTAGGTCGTTGTACAATGACTACCTTACAAATGTATAATATTTAGTTCGAAGGAATGAGTAAGAAAGTACATGTAATATTAAAGCCATATTTACCGTCTGAAAATGTCTTCCATAAGGCTTCGTCAACGCAAATATCCTCCAACGGTGATGGCAGTTTTACTATGACCGAGTTTGGGTTAATATATTACGCGTATTCACTTGAGTATTGTTATACATAATTATTATGTATGTATGTATGCAAGGGAAACACGTGGTGTGAAACGTAAAACTCGGGGTAAAACTAGTCTCCCCCACAGCCGCTTTCAGTGTCGTCACGCAACGCTTTCTCAGGGGAGAAAGCGTTGCGTGACGACACTGAAAGCGGCTGTGGGGGAGACTAGGTAAAACATGAGAAATATTTTATTTAACCCGTGAAAAAATAGAACGCATAATAGTAGTCTCTAAACCCATTGTTAAATTCTTTTCTTTTTTAGCAATTTTTTTACCGCCATTGCTACGCGGCCACCTCGGACAAAAATCGCGACGTGCACTTTGCAATAGACTGGCGTCAATCAAACACGTTGACATCATTTACACGCGTGTGTGATTCAAAAGGCGCCAAAACTTGTCGATTGTTTACGAGTATTATGAGCCACACTCACCGGGCCTATCTGGGCCGATCCAAATCAATGTGGATCCTATTTAAATTAGATTAAACTTAGTATGTCTGTGTAACAGCATGGTCACGGTACTGATGTATGACATCTCATGAATGAATCACAGTGTGCGAACTTACATCTCGTCCAATCACAAGACTCAGATACGCAACAACCTCGATACCTTGAGTTTGATTATGTTTGAATTTTTTCCCCAGTTTTATCCGACGGTAATAAGAGGACTGGGTCTAGGATGTTGCAGTTCTGTAGCACGTATTGGTGCTATGGTAACGCCGTTCGTCTGTCAGGTATAGTTGGATAATATACACTGCACACACAGATATTCCAGGTGTGATGTATTCATGCATACCGGTGTCATGGTAACGCCGTTCATCTGTCAGGTATAGTTGGATAATGT